CATTTTTCATAAAACCACATGCAAGTCTTTTTGATGGTGAAAAAATCCACTTGCAACAGACACATGTCTAGGCAAATCCTTAGAAGCAAAGTATGGACCCCACACAGACATTCCAGAAGAAAAGACATTACTATAAAGTAGTTTCTCTTGAAGTGGAGTAGAATATGTGTGAGCCTACAAGGCCACTTTGATAAATAAATAAAAGTCTTTTTTCTTTTCTAGCACAAAACTGGTTCAACTGCAGGGCAAGTTAAACCCAGATTCACATTTTACTTAGTTTTTTCTTTCCCTTTTTTTCCTTAAGTGATCCCTTGGCTTATATGAAGATGGGATAATTTTTTTTTTTTAACCAGAAGAACCATTTGGCTTTGGGTTATCTGAATTTTACCTTCCTGGCTTTTCAACATATCTCTGTGAAACGCCTTTCCAAGAACAAAGCCCAGTGTCCTGCGATTATCGATGTGCGCCCTTACCTATGGGTTTCTTTCAAAATTGATGTCATTAAACCAGTACAAAAGATCCTCTGAACGCTCTTAAATTAGTGCAAAGCAGACTTAGAGTAGTATCATCAGACATAAGTTTTATCTAAAGCACTGTTGAGCCTGTAGCTATGTTTAACTATACTCAAACTCTATTTTACTATCTCTAGCATCTATCTCAAATCCTTCTGTTGATTCTTTGAAAGACACTGTCTGTTGCCCTTAGTACTTAGACTAAATTTAGTCTTCTATATAAAGCCTAAATTAGGCCTAAACTAATCCATAGGCTTTTGTAATCCTGCTATCTTCTTGCCATGCCATGGGGTCATAAGCCTGTCTACCTCCTTTTTGGCACTTCCGGCACTCTGACCCTGCACTCAAGTGCAGCTAGATTGGCTTTGGCTGGCTTGTAGTCACAACTTCTAACATCAAAGCTAGACACTGACCGAACAGGATTTATGTAATGATCACTACATATTTATTGGTTGATTTTTAGGTAAACTGATGCAACCTGTGTGGACAATTTTCACTTGCTATCTCTATTATTCACTTGCTGTCACTTATTATGTCTATTATATGTCTATGTCTGTATTTCCTGTTTATTCTATTTTTACTGCATGGAATTAACCAAACCTTAGTTACTTGGATTTCTTTTCAGCTTTAAAAAGAAACTCCATATAAAAGTAAAGTTCTAAAAATAATAGTTTCACAGGAAGAGGTAAAACTACAGTTTTGTATAAGTTTTGGCCACATTCCTTCACACCTAAACTTTTCAGGGTAACAACTAAAGACATGGGAGGAAAAATACAAGGTAAGCACATTTTTAGGGATTTGCGAGATTTTTTTTTTTTTTTTGAGCAAGAACAACAACCATAGGAGTCCATAGTTTGATAAGCTTGATTTTTGGTTTAAGCTTAAACTTTCTCCATTGTGTCTTTCATATAAAATGGGATAACCTGGGCTGTATTGCATACTGTATCTATATAGTTTTAGGACCATTAGGTACATTCAAAGTTTTTTTTCTCCTTCTCAGAGCTACTAAATGAGTCCCCTTTCCATAGCAATACTAAGTATGCATTTTGTCATTTTAGTTTATCCACCTGTGTAAACCAATGTTAGTCACTAACTTGTTTAATGTTATGATTGAGGCAGATGATGATTTGTAGCTTTACTTTGTAATTCACAGCATTAAGTTTCATTCTTTATGGTGTCATATCTGCACTTTGGAGCAAGTCAAATTTAAAAGGATAGTTCTTACTTCTAGGTTACACTTCCCTACATCATCCCCTTACACAGAAAGGTTAAGTGTCTTTTCAAATTAGAGCAGTAATTAACCAGTGGCATTGTTTGTGATTTGCCAACTCTGGGCATTAATGAGAGAGAAATTAGCACTTAGCAGCAGGAGTTCCCAATAGTCAGTGGCAAATGCATAATGTGTCAACAAATTAATTTTGGTCTTAAGTACTGCACTTATGTGTTTTTAAACAAAAGTGTGGTGTGGTTTTTATGTGATCATATACATGGGCTGACTGATACAGGGCTATAATAGAATGACATGACATAGTGAAAGAAGTGCAATCTAGGCAGCACAGGGCAGATAGTTTCGCTGTAATAACACAGTCAAAAGCAGGATTGATGGATGTTTTCATGCTAAAGATGTACTTGCTCTGGCAGTTCATAGAATTACAGAATCATGGAAAGGTTTGGGTTGGAAGGGACCTTAGAGATCATCAAGTTCCAACCCCCCTGCCATGGGCAGGAACACCCTCCACTAGACCAGGTTGCTCAAAGCCTCATCCAGCCTGGCCTTGAACACCTCCAGGGATGGGGCATCCACAGCTTCTCCGGGCAACCTGTGCCAGTGCCTCACCACCCTCACAGTAAAGAATTTCTTCCTAATATCTAGTCTAAATCTGCCTTCTTCCAATTTGAATCCATTATCCCTTTTCGTGTCGCTACATGCCCTTGTAAAAAGTCCCTCCCCATCTCTCCTGTAGCCCCCTTCAGGTTCTGGAAGGCCGCTACAAGGTCCCCCCTGGAGCCTTCTCTTCTCCAGGATGAAGAACCCCAACCCTCTCAGCCTGTCCTCAGAGGGGAGGTGCTCCAGCCCTCTGATCATCTTTGTGGCTCTCCTCTGGACCCGCTCCAGCAGCTCAACGTCCTTCTTGCAATATGCAGATGTTCTTGTATATAAATTTTATCATCAAATCTGGCATTTCTGAACATAATTTTTTAAGCACAAACTATTCCTGAAAAATTGTGCTTGAGCTGTCATGATTTGCTAGAAAGACATAAATTAGCCTCTTGAAGAGTCTCAAAATAATTTATTAAAAATTAGAATTTCAAAAAATAACCTAACAAATGGCTTAAGCACAGTGCCTCATGCGTTTTATGGTGGATAGGGGATTCAAGCTGCCACACAGAGCAAAATGAGCCCTTCAAAACTTGGCCTGAGCAGCTGCTTATTAACGTCAAGATTTTCCCTGGCACACACACTCATGATGAGTAAGTAATTGTGTACATTTCGTACCTTCCACCTTGCATAAAACAGCCCATTAGAAATGTAAGGTGTGCTCCCTATCTTCTGCGGATTTTTGCTTTTAAAATAACTTTGGTTAGTACATAAGTACATCCCCACCCTATTCTCCCTTTTCTATGTTTGGTTGATATGAGAACAGATACGTTGTCTGCGAAATAACAAAAGTAGGCCCAGCCTGCGTGAGCAAATCACTTCCTCTGACCACAGGCAACGAGCATCAGTCCTTGGCTTCACTTGCCATTTGCTCGTTGCTGCTTCTAGGCTAGCTGGCCTCCGTGTTACAGTGAGGTCATGACACATCTTGGCCCCACGTGAACTTAAGCAAAGGAGATTGGAGAGAAGTTCTTAGACACAGTAAAGGCTGAAGTTGTTGGCCAGCCAGAGAAAACTTAGGAATTGGATGCAGGTAACGTTGTCCTTCCGTATGATCCGCTTTTTGGTCTGTACTTTATTCAGTGCTAAATATGTTGGAGTACGTTAGCTGGTGTAGCTGGATTTGTCAGAGTTTTAACATTCCCACTTTCAGATATCGTCTTTCAGTTGCAAAAGAGCACATCTGCCAGTGCTGCGTAGGGGTAGTTTACTTTGCCACTAAACTGCGGCCACTTCTGTGTTGAAGAGAAGTAGCCATAAACCGAAATGTTGCAATGCTATGCCACAGTTTTGGGCAAGAAACTACCATATCTAATTGAAACTGCAGGAGGAAGCCACAGGGGTTTCTTCTTCCCTTGATGTCTGTTCCGTTACAAGAGCACATCAAATAGAGTTTTCCCTCCATTGTTGGAAAGAAACCACCCTAATGAAGCTGGTCTGGCACTGCCCACAGTTTTGAGTGCTTGTATTGTCTGTTAAGTGAACACTTAGGTTACCATGCATCCCCCAACACATTTTTATTTTAATTACACATTAACAAAAATTGGCTACCATATTGCTTGGGTCCTGAGCACAGCTCTGCATATAAACCATTACATGACATTCTATTGAACTTTTTCTTGTGCAGACGGTATCTAACAGCTCATCCTGCATTGTTGTTTTTGGCAAGTTCACTACAGCATATAATAAATCAAGGAAAGAAAAAGCTTTTTGGCCTAATGTTGTACAGACTGCTGTAATGTTAGACTACAGAAAGCAGTTCTGTTTTTAGACATCCTTTTTCTAACCCAACATTCATAATTTATGATTTCACTGTAAAATTCCTGCAACACTACACCAAAAGTAGTGCTGCCCTTTAATTAAGTGCTCTCAGTAGGAAAAACGTGAAACTGATGTGCAAAACATATCGCAGTACACAGTGATTGATAGTGATTACTTCTTTATGAACCCAGCCTGAAGGTCTGACCTTCCTGATGGGTAAAATAGTCCATGGGGCTACTTCCTGAGATTGCCTAGTGGGGATCGGTCAGCATTAGCAATATCTGAGGAATTCCTGAGGCACATTTCAGAGACGTTACAGCAGAAACTTTCTATTTCTTTCTGAATTTTATTGTACATTAATAATTACCTGAATAATAGCTCATTGTAGGAATTATATTTTAAGGATTCATTATTATCTTCGTGGTATTATAATTTGCACAAACTGGGACTTGCATAGACCCCTTTATTTTTAATGCTTGCACATCCAAATCTGATAAAGCACAGTGCACAGCAAGAGAGACTTCTGTATGTATCAAAGTTACTAAATGTTATTTAATGTTTCAGGCATAGGTCTTTTTTTATTAATATGTGCAGAATATCCAAAGGTAAAAATCAAAACTTTCGTGTGGATTGTTTGAGTCTCTAAATAGCATTTTTATTCATGGTATCAGGTGTTAATGATACATGTCATTTCAACATTGATTAAAATTTGAAAATTAAGTGCAGTTCAAGTACTCTCCAATTTTGCAGTAAAAGGAACAGATTTACTTGTGTTAGAATCACAGAGGTGGGGAATTAAAGTTCACCTAGCGCAGTCACATAAATTCCTTTTCCTTTTTGCTTGATAGGTTTGGCCCTGGATTAGTCATCTACTGGTATGGATTTATTGAAGAGCTGGACTGCCATCGTGAACGTGGTATCCTGCTAAAAGACTGCTTTCCTACCGATATTGTGACTCTGCGACACAGCATGGCTCAACGCTGATGTTGGGAGGAAGAGGTAAATCCGGAAGCAATTTTACTTTCCTGCAGTGTAAACTAGTGGCAGCATCTGCCCTGAACTTCAGCTGAACTCCTGCTGCCTGCCCTTATGCTACTGCCTCTTTACACAAACATATAGAGAGTTTCTGTTTTGCTTCAGACCTCTGTTGCGATCAGCCAAAAAAGACAGACACAACCCACTCATTATCAGCATTTCTGTCTCTGTCAAACAGCTAGTTGCTAGATACTCATAATCTTTCTTCCTTCCGGATGGCTGCTTCTAGCTTTCTAAACAAAGACAAAAATGCAGAGGCTGAAAGGTGCAACTTTCAGTTCTTGTCCCTGTTACAGAGTCACCTTTAAAAATAAGCAGCTTTGTTATGTTTTCACTCACAAGTTTATTCAGTGCTAGGGTATCTGACTGAAACACCTACACTGATGTGGAAAATTGGTGAAGACTCTTACTCTGGGTCTTAAAACAATATAATGCATAGCTCATAAAGTCCAAGTGGTAAAACAGGATGATATAACTTCTGGCTGGTAACAGTGAATAGCCAGATTTTGAGAGACTAATTGGTATATGTGTTTCGTCACTATCTGATTGCTAAAATCAACAGTGGAATCCCAAGTTAACAATTAAAAAAGAATTTGGGTTAGGGGATATAGGGGTGTGGGAGGGAAGAGCAAGGATTTATTTTATGCATATGTGCCTGTGAAGTTTGGGGTTAATTTAGGATTTTTTTTATAAGTGGTTTAATGACTGCAAAATATCTTGTGTTTTGTCTTGTCCTCCTCACTCCCCCGGGGAATCCATACCTAGGAATTTTTCTCTTAACTGACTTTAAGGAAGGAATCTGTCTTGACCCCTCTAGGTACTGTAACATGCAATTTTCTGGCATACTGAAGTCTGAAAGAATGATGTGCAGGAGCTCTCTGCATGGGTCACTTCTGAAGAAGATTACCATCCTGGTGTTCAAGAAGGGGAGTTAAAAAAAATAGAAGATAAAACAGTACTTCATACTGGATCAGTTCTATGAGGCAAAAAAGAGGATAAGTTTCCTGCATACTTATGTATTCTTGTAAGAGCATTGTTTTTCTCTTGTTGGAACCACTGAGATCAGAGGTACATTGAGGTGGGTGTTAGCCCCCCTTGAAGTTTTGAGGAGTTCAGTCTCGTTCTATTTCCATCCTCTTCGCTGCTCAGAGGGGCAGTATTGGGCCTTAGGTTTGTGCTCTTGGTTAAAGGTTTCTTAATGATAGCAGTTCTTTAATACTCTTTTCTTTGCTAACTGGCATTCAGGAAAGAATAAAATATTTTTGAAAGTCAGTGAGAGCTTTGCATGTATGCTCACCATGTTCAGATTTTCAGAGAAGTTAAGCAGAGGTGCAGATTCTGTTGTAGAATTAAAGGTGTGAGAACAGTCTCCCTAAAACACAAGTTGATAACCTTTTCCATAAGGAAAGGGTCTTTAAAACATTACACTGCATATTCATCATCTTTTTTTAGTTGAAGTGATACTTTGTGCGCCTGTATGCTTTCAAAAATCACATGCAGAGTTTTTACAGTCTTGCCTTGAGTTGAAAGAAAGGGTATTAATCCTATTCAGTTTTTTTCGGATATAGTTTGCAGATGCATATGCAGTATTTTTATTTTGAATTTTTAGTTCTTGCTTTTAGCACTTTTTAGTAAGTTTCAGACAGGAGTTTATAATTTTGACTAATCTTTAATTTTCAGGAAAAAATATCTTTAGTCTTCCTGGTGCTCTGTCCCTTGCCACAGAGATAAGGTAGTATAGCTACACTACAGTGAGTTATTGTTGCATAGAGAGTATTTTTTTGGGTTTGAATGTGTTATAGTGGAAAGACTTGTTTTTTAAAAAAATATTCAATCACCTGTAACTAATTTATGTTTATGTGCTTAGCTTATTTTGCGTGACCAGCTTTAAGAATCTGCCTGTAAAGATACACAGAAGCAATCTGTGAAGTGTACCTGCCTGATGCTACACAGAAGCTGCATTTAGGGTGTTGCTGCCCCTGGGACTTTTAACTGTGGTTTAGGTTAGTGGAATGTGTAAAATCAAGAAGAGAATAAAAAAGAAAAAATAACTGAACGTTATCGTAGTAGAAAATTCAGAAGTAATAGTTGTCTGAGTTAAATGAGTTCTAAGGGCAAACTGAATTTGTTTTAGCTAGTGCATATGCTTTCTGTTGTATGAAATCATTTAAATCAGCTTTTACATGATGCACCAGTGGTGCTTTTTCTTTTTGAATAAATTAAATTTATCTGCACAGATGTTGAAAATTCTCCTCAACCTCCATCAAAGCTTTGCTTTATTTGTTTTTACATTAAACAAATTTATGTGGGGGACACACAGATAAATCAGGTTAGGCTTGTATTTGTTTATTTATTCCTCTACCTAATGCTGTGACATAACAGGTTGGAAAGCAGTACAGCTGTCTTTAATCAAAGCTTTGACCTCATCTTTGTACATTGCCTCCTTTAAGAATCTTTGTATTAGAATGAGGATGAAATAAACCACAGAAGTGTGCATACTGTACTAGTTTCATTACACGTGATCGAACAAGCTTTGCCAGGATAAAAATTTTACTATACCATTATTTTAAATGGTGAAAGCACAACATTAAAAAAATTAAGAATACTGTGTTATTCCTAATTGTATCTTGAAAAAAACCCTCATTTGTGTATTTTCCCTGTTTATGAGATTTAAACATCAACTTTTAGTATTAAAGACGAGAGACCATTGTTTGTGAGTTATTTGTTGGTTTTGTTTTCTTAAATAATGCTGTAATCATTGGGACCTTAACATTAAAGCCAAATCCAGTTTTATGGAGTATTCTGTAGAGTGTGCTAATGAATTATGCCAAGCCAGAGAACAGAAGTGTGCATAAAACTGAATGATGTTCTCACTGGCATATATAGACTTGCCAAGCATCTGCTCTTACGAGCACTGTAATAAGGCCTGTTCTGAGCTTTAGGAATTGATGCAATTGTGTTGAACAAGGAAGTAAAACTTCCTCATGTAGGAGGAACAGCACAACAGTGGGTCACACTCTAGTATAAAAAGAAAATATTTTTTCCATTCCTGCATTCTGGAGACTCATTATTAGTATGAGTTTAATAATCTTACCCTAAAGCTAGCTCAGAGCAGAGTACAACTTCTGATCTAAAGCTGAAGAAAAAGGACCAAATGTCATACTGTGCTTACCTCACTAGTGTTTTGTCACATTAATAGTACTGATAGTTCATGAATAATTTTCATCCTGTTTTGCTATATTCGCCCATTCAAAAAGTCATTCGTTCCTGATACTTGCTTTTGGATTCCTCCACCATCTAGACTACTACAGAAGACTATTCATGGCTCTTTCCATTTGCTGTTAAATCCTTCTCTTTTAAATTTCCATCTTTTTTAAACATTTATTTTTTTTATCTATTCATTATCTTCCCCTTTGCCCTTGTTTCCTCTTTGAAAAGTCTCTCCTGTGTTTTCTCCTGCCTGCTTCCATTTCTGATACTACATCTGAAGGGTGCTCTTTCCAGTTCTGTATGCATTTGGGCTGACCCACTGTCTCAAGCAATTGTGTTCTTACTCTAATTTAAACAGCAACTTTAGGTACCAGGGAAACTGTCCTCAAATTTCCACACTGTGTTGTAACGGAGAAACGTTGTGATGGTCTTCTTCATCCTCTTGGTTTGAAATATAGGTCCTTTCTGCAGGCTGAGAACGTTGACAGAGCAGAGCTCTGGTGCAGTATACTCACTCCTGTGTCAAGAGCAGAGTTGTACAAAGGACTAAGGGAAGAGTGCATCTGTGCTACCAGAAAATAGGCAAAGCCAGTATCAGGAATTTATCTGTTACAGCGGTCTCTTTCATTAAAGAGACTTGCTTTCTGCAAGTTCATGCCTGGCTTGCACAGCACTTCTGCAGGAAGGTCTGTTGAAGTCAAAGGTTTAGCTTTTGTCCTGTGCCAAAATCTTCTTGGCTCAGAAGGGAAAAGATGGCTAGCTCCCTGTTTTCAAACCACAGTCATTCTGGCAAAAGCTTATACGTCCTACAGGTTGTTATTATTTACCAGAGCTGATTACACCTCCTCGAGGGTCAAAAAAAATACACAGAATTGAACTCGATTCTTCCTTTTACTTCAGCTGAAGTAGTCTCACTATTCAGATAGCTTCTGAAGGGATCTTCTGCAGTTAGGCAGTGAATACTGAGCAAGAATAAGTTGTTAGAAACATGCTTTTGGTTTTTGGAGGTTAAGATTGTAAATATGTTAAGACAAATGCTGCTTAAGTATTAATTTAATATTATGGAATAAAATAGAAGGCTGCTTGCAAAAACAAAAAAAAATATTACTCTTGTTGTGTTATTCTAAGTCACAAAGGGCAATTTGTTGTGGATTTGCAGGTTATTCGGAAATAACTGTTTTATTACATTGATAAAAGAAGAAACCTCAAGGGCTTGCTCTTTACAGTGGTGTGATAGGAACCCAAAGTGTGCCTGTTGAAAAATGAACTAGCTAACAATGGGAGCTTGGCAGCAACTTCACCATTTATAGAGAAACCGTCTATCTAGTACGATCTGTATAAAATAGACCTCGCTTAGGTTAAGGAAAGGTCACAAGTTACACAAAGTTTGGATAGTCTAAATGCATTACTCAAAACTAACTCTCCTGTGTATAGTAAATATTATTTGAACCGGTATTATTAAGAACATGCCAGGATTCAAAAGATTAAATAAGGAAGATGTAATTATGAGCTAAATAATAAACAGAGCAGTTTTAGTTCCCCTTGTGTTTTTCACTTTCCTGCTATTGTTTCATATATGGCTGTTAGACAAAGAGCAGCTTAGGTCAGCTACTATAAATTATGGGTTTCATACAATAGTAATCTACCAAAATTATTTCAAAGCTGGATCAAAGAGCTTCAAAAGATTTTTGAAAACTTTTCCACATAATCAAAAGACTTCATATTGATGCCCTATTTTTATAAGGATTTCTTGATTTAGAGTTGCATCTTACACTGTTCAGCT